GCGAGGGTCCTAACCACTATGCCACCGACGCACTACTTTACGTACTGGATTCTCCAGCAGATAATTAGTTCAGTCAAGCGTTAAGGATAAGATGCCGCTTTTAGCCATCTCAATGTGTATTTATCAGTTTACTTTTTCGTGTGGAGTAAAGTATATATATCGGCCGTACTCACCATCAATTCCATAAACGTATTCTGGAATACTGTCCAGCCAGACTAGCCAGAGGAGACAAGAAGAATATCAGTAATTCTATCCTCTAAAACCTTATCAATTCTGGACATCGGGCAGCTCCACATGACTGCTCCATAGAGTTCCTCAATATCCCACGAAAGGACGTCGGATACGCCATCTATACATAAGTGAATCATTGGCTATTCGGGATCTGAAATCGGACCATAGAGTTCAAAAGCACTATATTCATTCACTACAGTGGCCAGAGTAACGGTCTTACCATAATTTTGCTTCATTTTATTGTGTAAGTTTGCTATTATCATTCTCATAATCTTTATTTTATTTATGAATTTATTATTGTTTATCGTCTTTCCACTCTCTATTTTGTCCACACTACACAATTATATTGATCAATCATTTTTCTCATCACATCACCTATTACGTCATGCCAAATTCTACCCCCTTTTACTAATTTCCAGCTAGCCATCCACTTCTAGATTACACGTTACACTGTGTAATACATTTTCTAATAATTAATTGGTCTTATGAGTTTGTTTGTTAAAATGTAAATACGATTGTACAGCTTTTGATCACATGGCCGGAAAGAATCACCAACAAGAAACTATGGGGACAAACGAAACAAGAACCAATCGCCCAACAAATATGCAAGAGAAAGTGGAGATGGATTGGACACTCGCTGAGGAGGCCGTTGGGTGACATCGTGCGTCAGGCCAGTGGTCGAGTGGAACCCGAAAGGGAAGCGGCGAGTGGGGCGTCAGTGCAAGGGTGACATGGAGGAGATCGTGTGAAGAGGAGTTGAAACAGCATGGACCAACATGGATGCAAGTGAAAAGTACAGCAGCAGAGAGAAGCAAGTGGAGACGTGCAGTTGAAGCCCTATGTTCCACTAGGAAGCCAAGGGAATAATAATAATAATACAGCTTTTGAGAATGAACTGTCGGAAAGAAAATTTTCCTCGCTGTTTACATCCTTTTCGTATGAATCTAGGGGTTTTATATTATAAAATGTTAATTGACAACAAAGGTTCGAGTTGATTGTCAGTTAGTAAAATAAATAGGTCAACGGCTCAATTCTATAGCATATTATTACTTCCGGTCAGGCAGCATAGGCAGAAAGTAATACCTAGCAATTTAATGGGATTTCGAATGTATCTTGTCCATGCAGCCGAAGTTCTAGCTATCCATTAGAAAACAATCGAAACTTTTTGTGCAGAAAAGCTTTATACAACCTCTTGTATAATCACGGCCTAAGTGTCAATTTTATTTTCGTGTATTGTTATGCAATAAACCATATACAGCAGGTCAGGTGTGAGGAGACAAACACTCGCCACCGATGACATTAGCTGACGGTAGTCACGCTATATCGTGAATAGGCAGAAGTTAGAATTCATGGACTGGCCATTGGGTCAGGTCCCAGTGGCTTAATGGGCACTCTTTGAGCACTCTTGCCTTGTGACCGAAAGGTTCTGGATTCGAATCCTGTCGGTGGATGCGTTCTGTTGAAGAGTCCTAAACCAGGCTGACGAAACAGCTGGCTTTCCAGTATTCTCTGGTGGGTTTTCCAGTGGTTCACCAACCGATATCAGCTTATGATGAGATCTTGTAACCTACAAAGTCCTTTTATTTTTGTTTATTTGTTTTTGTAACCCATTTTCAGTCCTTTGTTCTTTTGTTTCTTATCACTTAATATTTTCAAATGGTTATTTATCACTTAGCCAAATAGTTGTCAACCTTCTCGGTTACGTATGATTATTCACTATTTTTCATACACTTTAACTTATTTTTTGTTATTAACTGAAAGTATCCTCTGACCTCTGTTTTTAATTATTAACACCGGATAAACAACCCAACTAAATAACTGTACAGCTTTATCGTGCAGTTATGGATAGAGATGTCAAGTGTTAGTTTGCAACGATTTTAACTGGCTATAGCATAGATGACGAATAGTTGGCATCAGTTACAGAACTATTGGAAAACCAACAGAGAGTACTAGACAGATGTTTTTCTCCTAGTTTGGGACTCCTCATCAGTACACATCCACCACCAGGTTTCGAACCCAGGACCTTTCGGTTACAAGTCAAGCTCGTAGATCATTCAGCCACTAGGACCTGATCTAATGGTTCTCTGATAAATGTCAACTGGTAATGAAACCTGGAATAAAGATCTGTTTGCTGACATGTATTCAGAGGGAGGGAGAGAAAGAGAGAGCTAAATGCTTCACTAAGATCATAAAGGGAATACCAACGCTCTTAACTGTGTTGGTACATTTGTTTGAAGAGTAATAAATGTGACAGACTACTTGGGTCAGATTTCACTTTCAATGACGTCAAGATAAACAGTACCAAAATTAAAATGATGACAATATTCACAGTTGATGAGTTTCACTCAGAAATGTGAATAATGAAAAATCCTAAAGAATAAATGCTGTCATATTAAAGAAGAAAGAAATATTTATGAATAAAAAGTTTAGTTAGAGGATCACTGAAAACTGAGGAGTAATGGACAACTGCCTTGTCCTCTTCTGGGACTCTTCAGGAGTACACGCCTATGACTAAAAATCCAGGGCTCAAACCCAGGATCTTCACAAACGAACCTAATGGCCATTCAGCTATTGGGATATGATCCAGTAGCTCATGAATTCTGACTTCTGCCGATTCCTAATATATAGAGCGACCCTTAGCCAATATTATTTGCTAGTATTTGTCCTCGAACTCAACTTGATGGATCCTCCTGGTCACGAATCCCCACTAGAACTTCAGTCGTCTTCACCCCATAGTCAATCACTAGTGTGCATTCAATTGATTTTTAAATGTGGCACTTTGCTGGGATTTGTTTGATTTTAATAACGAGCTGTGTGGCTGAATGGTCAGTGAGCCTGCCTTGATAACAGAAGGCCATATGTTCGACCCCTGGGTGTATTCATGACTGAACTACAAAATCAATCAAATCCTTGGAAACCAGCATCTTAGAATTAAAAACTGTATTCCTTACTAATTTTGTTGTTAATTTACTAGACTTAGCAAGAGAAATTATTCAAAATGGGTGTTTCAAAGTGCAAATACTCAAAAGAGCTCAAACGAGGACCAGACACACGGTAGGTAGTCAGCTTGAATCGATAAACTTCAGGTGAACTGTACTACAGGATAAATAAGGTAGGTCGGAAAGACGATGTAGCTATGGGCAGTCCACACATTTTCGTCTGTAATCTTGAGAGAAGAAAGCTAAAGTGTGCTATCAGCGAAACAACTTGTTATTTTGGAAATTCTGATGATGCATTCGTAATGTTGAACAAGAGAAATCATGCATCCTACCTACTTGGACTATTTATGCAGTGACACAAATGAATATATTGACTCTGCTACGGGCACATGAAAGTAACGGGAAGTTTAACTTCCTGAACATAGCCATGCTACGCTTGGAAGATGATAGTCGTTAGAGATCTACTCACTGGAAGGCTATGGAAAATGGACAATACTTAAATTGTTATTTACTACAAACGAGCATTGGTCAGAATTCTGTTCTATAAAACCAGAAGTATATACCTTTCTAAGAAATCGTAAGAAAAATGTTCGATTCTTAAGATGTTGTTAAATGCATTAAAAAACCCGGAAGATGTGCAGATTTAAATGCAAAACAAACCACAATGAACAAGAAGTCTATTTGTATACAACTCAATTCCAAAGGTGACAACATTGCATGAATAATCAGCAGAAGATTGAATATCTCATTAACCACAACCTATCCTGCAGCCAAGTTGTTTCTCGTTTATTAGAAAAAAGGTCAACAGATACCCTTCTCATGTTAACTCTGACTATGTATACAAATTTACATATATCTGTGGAAGCAATTGCATTCGGAGAAGAGAAAGAAAAGAATGGGCACACCCTCGATTTTCTCAACATATGCTGAAAGGCCTACGTCTCAACGGAAAAAAACGCTTTCAGTGGTACCATTACTAAGCATCTCCTTGATGCAAATCATGAGGTAGCCGGCATGAAATCCTTGAAAATTATAACTAGACAATATAATTGGGTTCTCCTCAAGTTTATCAAAGCAACTACTCTCAACCACTTGAAACCCGATTTATGTGTTCAGAATGAAGCAGTTGTCAGTCTTTACTTATTAGCTACTCATTATCTATCTTATCATCATCTGTCATCTTTATTACGTAATTCTTCCTTTTGTATCCAAACAATTGTTTTCTTATTTTGTTGAAACTCGGACCTTCTGTGTATAAGTTGCATATTTATTATTATTTTTTTATTTTTGATCATTGCTTGATTCCACGCCGTATTTTTGGTACAGGTATGAAGTTTTCAGTATGTGATATCGGTAGTACAAATTTTGCAGGCCGACCATTGATATCAGGACAATGGTCGGCGAGAGTCCTAGTCGCTGTGCCGCTGACGCACAAGCCTAATCTCGTACACAATTTCGATATTACTGAAAAAATTATATCAGCACTCTTCGCTTACAAAATCTATTGATTCATGAAAATGAGATCTACGTCAGTCTACACTAACAAACACAAAATGTATGAGAGAAAGAAAACCAAAGATAATATATTTTTTCACTTTTATTTATTGACATGAATGACCTAGATATACGTCGTCAAGTTAACAAACATGTTGCTGTAGTTAGGTCATATGAAAAGGTCATGGATTTGTATTCAACCAATCAAAATTTAGTAGACTAGAGAAAGTCAGATCTTCCCGAGTTGTGATTGGTAGTTGATGTGTTTCTTTGCACTATTGGTTAAAAAATTGCTTTTTAAATCATGCCGTTACAACTGTTTGTGTTATTATATTCATTATTAATAGAGCTTTACTGTGGACCTATATGTTGGATTAATATTCATTTCCGAGCAGTTTTGAGAACCCTCTTATTTGCTGTTTAACGTGAGTTTATAGATTTTAATTTATTTAGTCAGTAATTGTGCGTTTACTTTGATAAATAGCTTTGTGGAGTTTTACATTTTTGTATTATGACTACAAAATTCATGGATTTTACATTCTTAGTTCTGAAACTATCTGGATTATTGTATAATTTTAAGTAATGAAGAATTCATTACACCGGGATTTATTCATAACTAATTTATAATGTGAAAAATTAAGAATACGATGATGATAACAATAAAGAAGGCGAAGGTGAATGGTGATGAAAGGTGAGAAAAGGACGATAGTCTTCAATCTGTGAACACCTTCTAGGGTTAGGTCATTCAGCCCCACGTGATTATCCTTTAAAGTTATCTACAGGACCAAATCCAATCACTCCAAAAAGCTTACGTTTTCTCCACTTATGCATAGCCGAAGCTCTAGCTATACATGGACAGAAACCTAAATTATGTATTCAAAAACGTTTTGTCAAACTCCTTTCTTTTCCATGGTCATGATATTCTCTTATTTTGTTCTATTTCACCACTTGAATTCATTCCACTTCACTTCACCTTCGCCTTCTTTATTGTTATAATCATAATCTATCAAAAATGTCTGTCTCTAATATTTCTGAACTCGCAACCCTACATCTGACATGTTGGATTTTTTCGGGATTATCATAGACAAATATCTTTCAATGGTCCCCCAATTCAAAATCTGTTGAAAAAGAGGTGTTGAGACAAACTATAGTAGTTAGCCATAAAGTTATGATTATTGCAATCAATCAGATATTGATTATTTTTATGTGGTTTAAATTTCCGTTGACGTGTAAGGGATAATTTACTCTGTCTCTACCTCAATTTGGAGGAATATTTCCAAGGGATCAGTTGGCTACAGTGTCGTGACTGGCGGCTCATTCTAGTCAAGTTAGACAAAAACCCTAACACTTTATTCCAACAAGGATAGTAGTCAAAAACGTTGCATATCGTACATTCATTATATCACTAATCTTCCCAAGATCTTGGGTGAATTTTGTACTATTTTAGACTCCCAGGGGTGCGAACGTTCCAGTGACCTTGAATGCATGCTAGTCGTTGGCTGACGGAACCTGTCATTATTATAGAGCAAATTTGAACGCTATTCATCAACTAAGGAGTGAATTTCACATTGTATGATGAATATTGTAGTAGTTGTTATTCACTGTACCGTACTGTATTATGGAAGTGTTGACTGAACAGGAGAAAAAAGCATAGGAGAAAAAAGCGGTGTAGATATATATAGAGTAAACATATTTGATAAAAACACACTGATACAGTAAGATTTACTGATGACGTTCATAAAAGGTCAACGCGCTTCCTAATAGATATTTAGACCTAAATTCATCTCATCTGTTATCCGTAAAGGCTGGTTTTATCAGTTGTCTAGCAAACAGTGCAATACCTCTAAGTAGTACTTCAAAAAACGTAAGTAGTGAAATGAAACAGATAGAAGAAGCATTGATATTAAATAACTATCCTGTAAAATTCATTTAGAGGATCACAAAAACCCCAAAGAAAGGGAAAATAGTGGTGAGAATAATGACCATAACATATAAGGAAGGTACATCTGAAACTCTACATAGAATTCTTAGTAAAGCAGGAATTATAGTGGCATTTAAGCCTACCATCTCACTTAGAAAGAAGCTCTATAGGATAAAAGACAATACTGACCCAATTAGACAAAATAATATAGTCTAAAAAATGGTTTGCAATGAATGTGAAGTCAACTACATGGATCAAACCAGTAAATCGAAAGTAGTCATATTACTGAAACATAGGTTGACTAACCTCACTGAGATTGTATTGGCACACAATTAAACAATAGGGTAGGGTAGGGCAGAGTTACGGTTCTAAAAAGAAATATGAGTAGGTGGAGATAGAGGTTAATTACTAAGTTTTTGTTTATCGAGACTACCCGTCATGTGCATAATAGGAATGACACAACGACAATACCCCGCAGCTATGGAAAATATTACTGCCCATAAAATCAAGTGACAAGAAATAATGGAAATATATAATCGAAGTTGGAAAGTTATGTGAGTATTTACTGTGTGCTAGAATTATACTCTACCACACTGTCCAAGCTCTATACTGATAAACTAGTTTTTTTGTTTTCCTTCACGTTCCCCAGTGGAACATAGGGCTTCAAGCTAATGGCTTGAAGTTTCTGTAGCAGTGTTTATTTTACAGGATGGGGTTGCGAGCCTCATGCCCAACCTTTCCTCTTCACCAGCTTTATTTCTGGCTTAGCGAGGTAAAGGAGTGAGTCTGTGGCCGGGGATCGAACCCCGGACGGCAAGCGTCCTAACTGCTATGCCACCGACGCACGATAGACTAGTAGATCTTTCGAAACCAAAATTCTACAGTAAACCTGTTCTATTTATAACCTAGTAAAATGTGTCAGTATATGAGAAATGATGGGAATTGTGAAGACAGCTTTAGAATTTTTTTTCATAAAACTATGTACATGCCACTCTGATTAAAGTGACTCCTATGGTTTCAGAGTCTCTCCTTTTATCTCTGTAGTAGGCTGTAGGTATATAGTATTATGTAGTAACAAGTAAACAATGCGGTTTTGAAATTCAGCGGGAAGTTTTTGTGACTAAGATGAAGTCTTTGCATATGCATATCATTTATTTTGTCAAAACCAGTCTCCTTTTAAAGACCAAATAGATTCTTAGCATTTTCAAGTTTAATCACAGATTAGTATTAGTTAGGTACGTCGGTGGCATAGCGGTTAGGACGCTCACCGACCATGCACAATACCCGGGGTTCGATCCCCGGCCACAGACTCACTCCTTTACCTCGCTAAGCCAGAAATAAAGCTGGTGAAGAGGAAAGGTTGGGCATGAGGCTCGCAACCCCATCCTGTAAAATAAACACTGCTACAGAAACTTCAAGCCATTAGCTTGAAGCTCTATGTTCCACTGGGGAACGTGAAGGAAAAAAAGTATTAGTTAGACGACTGCTGCAAACCTACAGGGGAACACTGGGCAGCTGTTTCATTTTAGTTGTTTGCGACTCTTAAGCAATATACATTTGATATTTTGTTGGTGGAAAGTGTCACAATGTCTTACCGTAAGGCAGATTAGTATCGCGTTTAACTAAGTTTTATTCCGTATTTAAAACTTGCTATGTACCGTAAATCTCCTTCGTTGAATCTGATGTCGTCGGTAGTTTAGTGGTGGGTTGCTCCCCAACCATGCATCTGGTCCGGAGTTCGATTCTCGGCCGACACACACTCCTAAATCTCAGCTAGTTAACTGGACGACAGAAAGTTTGGGATAGTTGGGCGTGAGGCTAGCAATCCCACTCCGTAAGACAAACTTGTCGGCTACTGGGAATTCAAACCTGGAGGTGTATGTTTCACTTCAAACGCTAAAGGAATGACTGAAATCTATCTGATAACAACGTCGTATAAAAAAAGCCTTTGTTAAGCATCCAAGAAATCCAAAGATTGAATTTCATTTGAGGTTGTTGTTTTGTGTTTTGAAAACATTAAAACTCATGGTCTTTGGTTCGACTCCTGCTTCGAGTGTTTCAGCATGTACGACCCTTACAAATAATTTGTGGTTTATAGTCTGTTACATGAAAAAAAAAACTTGTCCCACTAGTTTTGATCGTTTTCAAATTAGATAATCTATGAACCTTGTGGCATGTTATAGCATGTGACTTTAACATTAAAGTCATTTCCAATGGTCTAAGGAAGTGGTTTTGTATGATCATAATATTTTGTTTATGCTGTCGTGTGATTGCTCATGTTTTGTTGTATATTTCCTTGTTGTCGGTAAATGATAGCTTTTATAATAATGAATTCTAGGAAGTGACTTCTGAATGCTGTTGTTTGCAAAACAGTAGTAAGTAAGCCTGATCGACATTTGTATATAGAATAAGAATTTTATTGGAGAGATAATACATATATGTATTTCTGTCTGTTAACAATACTGTTAGCAATTTATGTGTCTAACAATGGACTTATATCAGTAAATGCACAATTATTTGTTTCTTAGATTGATTTGAATTCCCCCTTGATTGATTATGTTGATCTCGGTGTCTGTTGTTGACACGTCAGCTCTTAGTATGGACGCTTCTGTTATGTCCAAGAATTGTCGTAAAGTTATCTATTAGGGCATGAGGGTTTTGGCGATTGAAACGATGAGTGTAGGGTGTGGAGTCTTAGCGGGAACACTGTCATCACTCACTGGGAATAATGCAAGGACATCCGTCTGACAAGTCCGAAAAAGGGCAAAATGTGAATATTCTGGATAACCCTGTTAGCCGTCATCACATCAATGCAAATTACTTCATGTTAACCCTTAGACAAAGCCTAAGCGTCCGTACGAAGAGCCAGCATGTCAATATCTTTTTTTATTCCTTCACGTTCCCAGTGGAACATAGGGCTTCAAGCTAGAGGCTTGAAGTTTCAGTTGCATTCGTGTATATTTTTACGGGATGGGGTTGCTAGCCTCATGCCCAACCTTCCCTCTTTACCAGTCTTATTACTGGCTTAATGAGGTAAAGGAGTGCGTCGGCTGGGGATCGAACCCCGAACCACCTTCATGGCTGGCGAGCATTCTACCGCTGTGCCACAGACGCACCAGCATGTCAATATAGTCAATTATTATCAACCAAAAGTAGAGCACATTGTTTAATTTAATATGATTGGAATTAGTTGACAGAATAATTCGACACAAAGCTGTATACAATTCACGCATGCAGAATTCATTGAATTTTAATTCTAACAAAATTAATTCTGGACTACTGTTGTTGTTTTTTTTTTGCTGAAACACTACATTATTTACACATGAAATTGATTGTCCAATAACTTGAACATTTTATTTTTAACTGTTATATCATGCAAGTCAATAACCACTTACAAGTTCATACATTGTATTCCATCATATAATTTTGTTGTTTCATGATAATATCTAACTGTTCAAAATACTCTACGTATATTGGCTCTAAGTTACTATTTACTGAGTGATT